GTAGTAGTAGTAGTAGTAGTAGTAGTAGTAATAGTAGTAATAGTAGTAGTAGGTACTTTATCATTTTTTAAATATCTTTTATTTATATTTCAACTTTTCTCATCAATATATATATATATATATATATTTTAAATTATGGACAGAATGTTTGTTTATAATATTGATATACAATATGTCTCCATATATATATAATATATATAATTATATTATATATATTATAAATCATTTTATATATGATTATTTCATTCCTCCATAACAAAAACACAAAAAAAATTTCTTTCTTATAATTTATTATTTTTTTTTACTCTCTTATTAAACAAACACATAATAATAATAATAATAATCAGGCATTGAATCAATGCATGTTGAAAACAAAACTTAAGTAAGATTTGCTCTTAATAACAATTTAATAATAATAATAATAATAATAATATTAATAATAATAACAATGAAGGAAATATTATAGGTAACTCACGTTTAATTTTTTCTTTTCTTTTCTAATAAATAAATAAATAAATAAGCTGGAAAATTTTTATTACTTTAAATACATACATATTTATATATATTTATGTATAATAATAATAATAATAATGAGTTTTGTTTTTATCGTGAAAATTTCTATCGATTTATTTTTATTTTCGGTGTGCCTTTTATTTATATATTAAAAGAAAAGGTTGATAAGGTGTGTATATATATATACATACATATTTATCACAGAATTCAAAAACTTTAAAATTCCGTTACGTATTCCTTTTTACCCCCCCCCCTCCACCCCCCTCCCCCCGAAAAAAAAATTCAGTGTGATGAAGTTTAGTATTAATTTTTCCTCCCTATTGGTATCATTATTATTATTAACACGATTCAAAACGTTTTTTTATATAAGATTTTTATAATCACAGTAATCATAATAATAACGTTTCACTGCCTTTTTTTAAAATTATCATTATCATTTATTTATTATGGTTAAATTAAAATTTAATTTTAATATTATTATTATTATTATTATTATTTTTTAATTAATTAAAATCCCAATCAAATCCATCAATTAAACAAAAACGCAATTTAAAGTTTAAAATTTTCCAGCTGTTATTATCATTATCATCATTATTATTATTATTATTATTATTAAAATTTAAATTAAAATTTTTTTTTTTTTTTTTTTCGTTTAACATCAATCAATCATCAACATTTTTTTTAACAGGAAAATTTACATTGAATATAATTTTCATTCGTTTTTCTTTTTTTTTTTAGGGGAAAACCCCAAAAAAAAAAAAAAAATTTTCTTTTATTATTATTATTATTGATAAATCATTTCACGATATAAGTAATTAAAATAAATTTTCTTTTTTATTATTATTATTATTATTATTATGAGAATGAAAAAGAAAAGAAAAAAGAAAAAATTAATAAATTTTTTACAGGCTATTAAAATTACACTAAATAAAATAATAATAATAATAATAATAATAATAATAACAAAGTGTAAGTTTTATTTTTTTTTTTTTTCTTTTTTTTTTTCTTTTCTTATTTTTTATTTATTTATTTATTTAAACCGATCTAATATTAACATTTTATTTTATTTTTTACTAACATTTTTTATAAATTTATATATTTATATATATTTTATTTAAATTATATAAATCATTGCCGACGATGACGATGACGTAGATGTTTTTCTTTTTTCCATAACGTTAATACAATAAAAATCCATTTTTTAACTTTTTTTTAAAACTTTTATTTAATGCAGAAACAAAAAAAAAAAAAAATTTTAATATGGCTCCCCAACTTGTTAAAATGTAAAAAAAAAAAAAAAAAAAAAAAAAGAAAAGGCTTCGTTTAAAAAAATAATAATAATAATAATTTTTCTTCTTTGAAATTCAAATGAAAAACGCGCGGTTTTAATAATTTTTTCTTATTTTTTTTTTTTTTTTTTTTTAATTAGCTCTTCGTAAGAATTAATTAAGAAAAACACACAACTAAAACTACGTGTGGGAGAGAAAGAGAGAGATAATTTCAAGAAAAAGAGAAAAGAGAGAGATGGAGAGAGAGAGCGTTTACACAGTTTCCGTAAGTAACATTTTTGTTTTTTTCTACTTCCGGTTTCGCACAAAAAGAAAAAGAAAAAAAAATTATTTATCGAATGAAGGATTACATCGATTAAAAATCGATTTATTATTTAAACTCGAAACTTCTCGAAAGTTCTCGAAAGCGCGCGTAAAAAAAAAAAAAAAAAAATTCAAAAACTTTTTAAAATGATGAATGAATGAATGAATGAATGAATTTCAAAGGATGCCTTTTCTATTTTCTTTTTCTTTTTTGTTATTAATACGATCATCACGTGTTGAAATGAGAATCAATTTAATAATAATAATAATAATAATAATAATAATAATTTCTTTTTCGTCTGCTTCTGACAACTAATCTATTATATATATATATATATATATATATATACTTATTAGGCAATAACAACAAAAAAAATGTAATCTATGTGCAATTTAATTTCCCTTTACGTTAAAAAAAACAATTTAAATATCATTATTATTATTATTATCATTACTATTATTCTTTCTTCCGGTTATGCACATAACAATTATCATTATTATTATTATTGTTCAAAAAATGCTTTTTTTTTTTTTTTAAATAAAATACAATCCAATGCGTCTTTTGTTTTGTTTTTTGTTTAAATGAACATGATAACGGTATCATTACATATGTATTGTTTTTCTTATGTATCGATGACGTCACGATAATAATAATAATAATAATAATAATAATAATAATAATAATAATAATAATAATAATAATATTAATAAATAATTTATTTCAACATAATGAACTCAAAAACCCTTCATATATATATATATACTCATATATATGTTATAATTTTTCGTCAAGATATTAAAAATCTTAATTTACAAACACGTGACAATAATAATAATGATAATAATAATAATAATAATAATAATAGATAATAATAATAATAATAATAATAATAATAATAATAATATTTTTTTTTAAAAAGCAAAGCAAAAAAACAATAAATTTACCACATATCGATTCGTATTTATTAACGATAAACATTTGAAAAGGGTTTAACTTTGAGGCTGAACGCGAGTGGGAGGGAGTAGTGGGGAGGGGGAAAGAGAGAGGGAGGGAAAGTGAGGAGGAAAGGGGAGGGGAATGGGAGTCGGAAAAACCAAAACAAAAGACGCACACACTTCGATTTCGCGGGTAAAAATAATTTTTTTCCAAATAAAAATATAAGAGAAAATTCTTTAAATATTAACAATTTTCTTCTCTTTTCTCTTTTATTCTCTTCTTCTCTCTTATCTTCTCTCTTTTTTCATATATATACACATTTATATATATATATATATATATAATAAATAAATCTTATGATTCTTATGTTTTCTATTTGAAAAAGAAAAAAAAAAAACAGAAGAAAAAGAAAGAAAGAAAGAAAGAAAGAAAGATTTAAAAAGTAATTTTTTTTGATTTTTTTGTTTGTTTGTTTGTTTGTTTTAATAATATTATCATTATCATTATTATTATTATTATTATTATTATTATTTATTTATTATTATTATTTATTATTTATATTTAATAATTGAATGTGTCTAAAGTTGATTCTCATTTGGTTTGAGGTTGCGATCCTGTATCTCCACCCCCGATGGCATTTTTCTCTCTTTCCTTCATTTTATCGCAATAATCGGCGAAGATATCTCGGAAGCGTGCCCATGATTTTTCAGGGACGGTTATAGCTGTTCGGAAATTGGTTTTCACCTAATGATAATAATAATAATAATAAATCGCATTAAGAGTCGTGATTTTTTATGTTTAAATTGTTTGCGTTTGTCGTTTTTGTTTCTTACCTCAGAAATCCGCATGTAAATCCCACGATTATTTTGACCAATGTCAAAATAAAAGTTTTTATTTTCGACGCGCATGTGTTTCCCTTCGGGTAACTCTCCCTTATAACCTCCATCTTCCGTACCGAATTCTTCGAGGAGATCAGTTAATGCGTCTCTAAATTCAATCATACCTTGAGCCGGTATCGCGATTTGAGAGCGTGGTCCCCCTCTTGGTATAGTTTGCGACACCTTTAATAAAACAAATGAATGAATGTCAATGTGAAAAAAAGGTACGAGTCAAACAAAAAAAAAAAAAAAACAGGGTTTCCTTGAGAACTTACTCTTAAAAATCGGCCGCGTGAGTTTTCTTTAAGGTCCAAAAAGTAGCGCTTGTTTTCTTTGATCATCATTTCGCTCTTGAGTTTACCATCCTCGGGTACGTTTTCGGGATTAGGCGGTCCGAGGGAAGCGTAGTAATCGCTGAACGTGGACAAATGATCGCGAAACTCGGCTGCCGTCGAAAGAGCTAAAAATATTTGACTCCTCCGACCGTCGGCTCCTATCTGAAATACACGATTTCGTTATTCGATATTTACATTTACCTAACAACGACAACAACAACAACAACAACAACCACAACGACAACAACAACAACAACCACAACGACAACAACAACAACGACAACAGCGACAAACGACAATGACAACAAACGAATTATATACGTTTTACATCATTCGCGCATTTTTCTATTGCCAACTTTACAAAAAAAAAAATCTCTTATCACACGTATTAACTTTTAAATATATGTATAAAATTATTTATCGGATGATGATGATGATGATGATGATGATGAAAATCATCTGGAATATTTAAAAAAAAAAATGGGGGGGTGGGGGTGGGGGTGGGAATCTGGAATTTTTTTTTCCAACTCGATGTCGGTCGCATTTTTTTACTTTGCTCTTCTGCTAGCAAAACTATTTATTAAAAGACGGAGAAATTTATTATTATTATTATTATTATTATTAACATTCAAAAGTCTCCTCACCTCTGCCACTTTTATGAACCTTCCTCTTCGATTTTGTTTCACATCTAAATAAAACCTTTTCGATTGGATTTGCAGCATCTTCGTGGCCAGCTCCTGTTCGCCCTGCGGCTGCTGCCCTACAAAATAATAATAATAATTATTTACATTATTTAAAACATTTTCTTGCGATTATTTTCGATAATATTTTCGCTCTCTATACGATTCGTTGCTCTTTCCCCCCCCCCCCCCCCGATTTTCCGAATTTTCATTTTTTTTTTATAAAAAGTTGTGGAGGGCCCACAACCATTTTCAAATACAGAATACAAGAAGAAGAGGAAAACTCTGATAATTCTTCCGAAAAATTTGTTGGAAAAACATTTTTTCTGCACTTGCGTAGTAAAGATCAATAAGCCGCAATCAACCTTTCCACCCCCCCCACCCGTCCCCCCATTTTGCCTTTTCTAAAAATCATCCAAATTTTTTTTTTTTTTTTTTTTTCTATTTTTTTTCCCTATTTTTTAGTTTGAATAAATGAGTTTTTCATTTCTCCCCACGAAAATCGAAAAAAAAAAAACCCGATAAGTATCGGGGGGAGGGGGCGAGGGGAGGAAAATCGGGAAATTTAACATCTATTTGTTTTATTACGTGATCCGGATGATGCTGCAAACGGGAGGAAGACTCTTACGAAAAAAAAAAAAAAAAATTTTTTACGCAATTTTTTCAAACAAAGAAAAGAAAATTCAATTTTCCATTATTATTATTATTATTAATTGCCCCCCAAATTTTCCCAAAAACATGAACATACCGGACGGACATGACAAAAAAAAAAAAAAAAAATCATTTTCAATCTTTCAACCTTCCGTTTTAATTAACAACAACAACAACAAAGACAAAAGAACAAGAGAGAGTAAGTGAATGAGTGAGTGTGAGAGAGATAGAGATAGAACCTTTCGAAAATAAATAAATCGAGCGCCATTTTAAATCCGGACCAGCCTAACCTTAATTTCGTGTGTCGGGTCATATTTGACGCAAGACAAGAAAGTAGAAAAAAAAAACCACAAAGGAAAAAAAAAACGTGCGCGCATTCAAAATTTGCAACACAAATTTTCCTTTTTCCTTCTTTTTTCTTCCTTTTCCTTTTCCTTCCTTCCTTCCTCCCCACCTTCCTTCTTTTTTTTTTTACAACGTCGATTATGTGAGACTTGTGAGGACATTTTTTTTTTTATTACCTTTTATTTTAAAACCGTCGAAAATTGATAGCAATAAAAACGTAAAAGAATTTTCACTTTTTTACGATGGGTAATAATCTCCCCAAAAGGTTTCACCAAAAAAAATTCTACTCTCATCTTTAACTCGGGTGGTTTTGTTGTAAAAATATACATGATTTCCAAGTGACAAACGCGACAACCAAACAAACGAACAAACGGTTTCGACAAACACGTCTTTTTTTAAACGTGAATTTCGATCGTATATATAAATTTTTGTAAGGACGAATCGTCATTTTTAATTTTTGTATCATAACAACGACAAACGACAACAAACAACAAACGACAACAAACGGGAAAGATTAACAAATTAATTTCACTCGAATGAAACAAATCTGGTAAAATGGATAAATTTTAATTTAACGTCGTACCTAAAAACAAAAACGAAAATTTCAAATTTTCAAATTCATTCGCACGGACATGATGATAATGATAATGATAATAATTTTTGTACAGGAAAATCCAACCCCCTCCCCCACCCCCTCTTCCCTCTCACAAAATGTAGCATTTTTTCCCTGCGTACAAAAAAAAAAAAAATTTTTTTTTTATCGCTGTCGATGACAATGCCGAAATTCTCATCGATTATTATCATCTTTTATTAAACCAGGACCGTATTAATTCGACCACGTGATCAATTTACAGGTTTTCAGGTTGTTTTAATAACGACTGACCGATGATGTTGACTCACCTTCCGGATACCAATATTGTATTTTTTCTAAAACACCGTCGCCGCCACCGCCACCGTTACCGTTTTCAGTCTTATTATTATAATTATTACTATTATTATTATTATTACTACTCATGATGACGTTGTTTTCGGATTTGATAAAAACTTTTTGACCACCCGGGTTTTCCCCCCTCCGGTACTCATCATTTCTCGTATCTGCTTGACCCAAACGGGTCTCACATCAATTTCCATTTGCTTCCTCGAATCCCCATTCATCGTTTTTTTTTTTAAATTAAATTAAAATTTTTTCTAAATAAAACAATTATTATTATTATTATTATTATTATTATTATTTTAACGGAAAATTTTCGCGCCTCGCGTTTTCTTTTTCTTCATTTGATAATTAAATGTTTTTTTTTTTTTTAAATAAAATACTATTGGTAATACTGTAAGAAAAAAAAAATTAAATAATAATAATAATAATAATAATAATAATAATAATAATAATAATAATAATAATAATAATAATAATAATAATAATAATGAGAGGGGATCGTTTTGAGTGATTTCCCATCAATCGATGACGTTGAAAAAAAAAAATGATAATAATAACAAATGCATTTCCCTTTTTCTTTGGGGGGGGGGGAGAAAGAGGGGAGGGGATTTTCTTATTTACTATAACGCTGCGTTCAACCATTTTTTTTTTTTTTTTTTTTTTTTTATTTCAAAACAAAATTAAATTAATTACAAAATATTTTAAACGCTTTTCTCTTCGGGGGGTGGGAGTGGGTGAAAGGGGGGGGAAAAAACTTTGAGATAAAACACGAATAATAATGATGATAATAATTCGATTGAGAAATTACAAAAATTTACAATTTTCCTTTTACTAGTACTAGTTAATAATAAAATTTTTTTTTTTTTTGTTAAAAGTTCAAACGACAAAATATTTACATACATAAGTACATAAATACATAAATACATGAGTTATTAATTCGTATGAATTATTATAATAAAAAAACTTTCTATTCGTGAAATAAATGAAAATCGAGATAAAATCAAATACGACCTGAAAATTTCAAGGCAAACATAAAACATTCATTTAACTATTTAAAAACTACAAAAAAAAACCAAAAAAAACCGAAAAAAAATTCAAACGTCTCGTCAAATTTAAATGTAAATATTTAACGGATTTAATAATAATAATAATAATAATAATAATAATAATAATAATAATAATAATAATAATAATTTTCTTTAAACTCAGTCAAACCAAAACATCCACCTTATCCAATATATATATTTGATTTTTCCTCATACGGAATTCATAACGTTTTTCTTATTCTTTTACGTTAAAATGACGTCACACACGCACGTATTATTTATTAGTGACTCATTGTAATTTTATTACGTACGAAAATCTCATTCAACGCCTTTCTTAATAATTATTACTTCTATTAATTATCACTTTTAATTATCAAAATATGTATATACATCTTTTCATTTATGCGGCTCATGCGAAATCTCATTCATTAATCGCAAAAAAAAAAAAAAAAAAAAAAAAAAAAAAATGTCGGAGTGTTTTTCTCTCTTGAAATAAATTACAACCCTTATAAAAAAGTATCCCGTAAAAAAGACTAATCGTTTATATATATTTATCATCATTATTATTGACGCTAAAATTAAAATGGCGATGATTTACGCAGCGTTATTTATTTATTTATTTTTTTTATTTCAGAAATAAATAATTATCGGGCCTCTCGTTTAAATAATTTAAATTAACCGTCGTCGCGGATCGAATGCGAGCAAAACCACGGGGAGGCAACAAGACGATCGTCGACACATGACGACGACGACGACAACAAAATACGGTGAGTTTGCATTTGTTATTCGACAACATTTTTTCCATGCAACGATTATTCTATTTAAAAAAAAAAAAAATTATTTAAATTCGGAATCGCGGAAATATAATAAATACTAAACGGCTAATATACGAAAGAATTTGATAATAATAATAATAATAGTAACAAATTCACTTAAACGTTTACGAACGAAAACAAATAAAACGTTTCACATAGCAAACTCTGCTTTAGAACTACAGGTATAAAAAAAAAAGCCATGGATTGATTATGTAAAACCACTCAAAACGATTTCCGGCGGGTTTTTTCTTTTCATTTAACGATTCTAAGAAATTTCCTCACAGAAAAAAAAAACGTTCAACGTTTTTAAAACTCTAACAAGTTAAACTATACACATACATAATAATAATAATTTTTTTAAATGATGTTATTTTAAATTGATTTTAACCGATAAAACAACAACAACAACAACAACGTGTGACTGACATTTTTTCCAAACTATTCAAACATATTGCCAACCGCGTCGCGTAACCGACGGAAAAAAAAAAAACCGTTAAACTACCAAATACAACAACAACATAATATCTTAACCGCAGCAAACGCGCTGGCATACGACTGAATCGATGAATGATGATGATGATGATGAACAACAATACGTACAAAATTTTTA